CATCAAATGAAAGTTGGCCCGCTGCCAATGCACACTGAAGTTTGGCAAGCACCTTGCGTTGGGTGGAAAACTTTGGTTGGAAACGGATAAACCCCTCCTCGACAAAGTCCCCTACATGCACTGAAGTTCCGAGATAATGGCGGTTACGCCCAGGTGCAAAAGATTTAGGGGCTTGCGGAGGGGCCCCCATAAGTTGAAACACCAATTGGAGTCCACGGAGTCCTTTCCGATGTCTGTTCAACGCACTGTTGCCTTCACATGGGGAGCCACCCCCCATCAACACACTACGAAAGTGGCGCCTCCGTAGCATGGGAACAAAGTCCACAGCTCGGAGCTCCTCAACTCTGGACACACTCACCACGTGGGGCATGACTGTGGTCGTGCAATGGTTGCTTCCTCATCCATCTCTGCGGTCACCGCGTAAAAATGGACGCCCATGGATAGCAATGCGATCAGTAGACCCCCAACGCCTGACCAAAGGTCCAAAACCAGCCATGTGCCCTTGAAAGGCTTGGCCCACGGAAATTGAGGCAAGTCCCCCTGGCCACGCCATGTGACCGGCTTGGCTGCGTACAAACGATCCATCAACTCTCGGCTGCCAGCCTGGGGATCCGGGCCTAGGAGGACACTGCGCTGAAGGGCGACAGGTGCAGGATCATGTACATGTCCAGAGCCCCTCGCGTAGCCACCTGGGCCCCCCCGGGGCAGAGATCCTTGCAGCCTGCTTTGGTGCAGCCGCGGCCATCATTGAAGGGTTTGCAAATCTTCTGACCTCCCTTCAACATTGAGATCGTGGGCCATTTGTCGGTCTTGATCACGCGTCGCTCCTTGGCAGGGCCCTTGTCCACTGGCTGTTCACTGTCGGTCATACGCCGCTTGGGAGACATACCTGCCTCAGGCAAGGTGGGCTGAATCCCTGGGGCGCGCCAATCGATATGAGTTTGACGTACACCTCCTCCAAAGCAGAAGCCCCTGTATACCCGCGGCGAATGAGGGATGCCATCTTGGAGCGGGCGTTGATGTCATTTCTCTCCAACCAAATAAGACTGCCCTGTCCGAACTCCATGGTAAATTGTAGGGCGTGATCCGCATACGACATAGCCGGGGCCAATGGCATGAAGACCCTCTAATTGCCATCAAAATCAACCACCTTATACAAACCTCCCCATGCCCAGGCATACGCCAGTGTGCGTAAGGAGAAGTAGTACTCCACCACGGTACGGACAACTCGATGTTCATCGGCAGCAAATTCAAGCTGAACGCCCGCACCCAGGCGGACTGATTCCTGTTGCTTGGGTGCCGATTGGTGAAGGATAGAGCGGACTTTGGCCACACTGATAACTGTCATGGTCCGCTTGCGGAATTCCCGATAAATGCGGGAACGGAGTGCATCACATGGCTCCAAGAACGCATCCAGCGCAATGCCATACTTACTAGCAAAATCCTTGTGGAGCTGCTGCATGGTAGACTCGCTCAGGACTTCATCTGGAGCGTCAGGCTGCTTGGCTTCCGCCGCCGCTGCACGGATAGCTTCCAGCCCACCTCCGCCAGACTAAGCGATTGTCAAAGGACATGGTCCAAGGGCTTCTCCAAAGCAGCCTCATCAAAGTAGTAGATGAAGTCCTCCAGGGTCTCCCATTTGTGGGCGGTCACCAGTTCATTCTTCCATTCGTCCAAAATATTGGCTCCCGCAAAACATGTGGATAGACCGCGATCATCTTGATACAGGTCAATGCGGCGAGAGCCACTCATGTCAGGCTTGGCGTGTAGTGGGCACCCACAGGGTGTCTAACACCACATTCTAAGCTGAGCCCCACACGATGCTGCAGCACGCACACAACAGAGAGGGGGGAGGACACTGCTACCCCCCTGCTCCGGATACAGGGCCAGGTCCCTCGCCGCGACACTCCTATGACCGCACCCCCCCCCAAGGGTCCCAGACGCTGGGTGTACCAACTGTGGTGGGTGGCAGGAAGGAGGCTTAGGGGCGCCTAAAACCGCTGCGACCTACCAAATATGGGCGACAAAACACGGGCGGCGATCGAACGGTCGACGACTCAGTCGATCTCGAACCCCCCGACCCGACCCCCCCCCGAGCATGAAGTCCTTGATGACCGCCCCCTTTTCATACGAGTCAATGCAGCCATCCGCACTGGTCGGCTAAGGCTGCATAAAGCCCTCGAGGCATTCGGGCAAGGCAGCGCTGGCAGAAGGTGCTGCGTCCCACCAGTCCAGAGCCTTCGCCTTGGCTCTTCGGGTCCTGGATGAACGGTGCATCCCGGCAATATGGAACTTGCCGATTCTCCACCATGCCGCTGACGATGTGGACCCGACAACTCTGCCAAAACGCCCTCCAAGTCACTGCCCATTGCTGAGCAGTCTGACGCTGAGGAGGATGTGGTAGATGATGAAACGGACTGGACTGCATCGTCCTCCTTGGGCTCAGGCGGTGTGGCATTGTCCAGCTCCTCCTCTTTCACCTGTCCTTCCGTCGCTGCCACCGGCAGAGCCGCCGCCGCCTCGGCACCTTCAGGTGAGGGGGACCACCCTGGGTCCTGTGCTAAGGCTGCCTCCAGCGGGCCAAAGCTCTCATTCATTTGGGCGAGCTCCTGCCAGGTCCAGGCGTCACGGGCCACGAGACCCTTGGGCATTGAGGGCTAACTCCGGCAGTTTGCGGCGCAGCAAGTGCATGAACCTCTGGATCAGGGCGCGTTTGACTGCCGCAGAGTGAATCACCCGTTGACCAGCGTAGCGCACGCCCATAGACCATGTAGCCTTGCTCTTCCGCACAGGTTGGGGCCCTCTTGCCAACTGCCTGTTGGTTATAGATGGCTGCAAGCCCCATGGTCGGCAAGAACCGGCGCGGGCTTGAGCATGGTCGACATTCATAGTGAGGAGGGCGCCACGGAGCAACTCCAGATACCGGCCTCTGGACATCTTGCGGTCAATGAGCCAGGCTGCGCTTTCAGTGACCTCCCAGAATTCATCAGCGCTCAGCTGCAGCGAGGGCCACAAGAAGTTCCGTGCCGGGTCCAGCTCAACAGTCACGAAGTCCCGCGCGATACGCCGTAAACTGCATCATGAGGCCTTGAAACTCAAGCTCAGGCATGGCCCATTTCCTTTCTTTCCTAGAAGCGAGGAGTCCCTTGGCGCCGACATCTTGCCAGCATTTTCAAACAAGGCCTTAAAAAGGGAGGCCCCTCCAGCGGATGTATGAAATGGTGACGCTCCTCTGTTCAATCACAAGCCTCATGGCCTGATTGTGTGTTGCTGGTGACCACAAGCAGGTGCACTCCACTAAACCCTGTCAAAAGCCTTCCTAGAAGCGCGGGGAAAAACACACAGATGTACACTGCGAGCGGAAAGCGTGTCTGCGCATGTGGTTGCGCCGCTTGCGCCACCGGCGCCGCCTGCGCCACTTGCGCCGTTTGCGCCACCTGCGCCGCTTGCGCCGATTGCATCTTCTGCGCCGCCTGCGCCGTCTGCGCCGTCTGCGCTGTCTGCGCCACCTGCGCCGCTTGCGCCGCTGGCGCCGTTTGCGCCGCCTGCGCCGCTTGCGCCGTTTGCGCCGCCTGCACCGCCTGCGCCGCCTGCGCCGCCTGCGCCGTTTGCGCCGCTTGCGCCGCCTGCGCCACTTGCGCCACCTGCGCTTCTGCGCCGCTTGCGGTGCCTCTGACACCCTTTCACACGCGACGCTCGGCGTGCGCTCGAGCGCCAGAGGACCAGCGCTGCGGGCGTGCACTCGATCGTTGGACAGAACAACAACCTCCTCAAGGCTGGCGCGTTGAAAAACGCAAGAAACTGGGGCGGAGGGATTGGGTCTCTGAGTTAGAGTACGAAGATGGCACATATACAATTGACAGCTGCAAGCAGCAGCCCAAGCTACTTCAACCTTTTCTACCGGCACGCTGGTCTACCGGTGAGAACGGTGTAAGCCTTGCGCTTAAGCAGTCAATCCCACGTACCGACCAAGACCTTTCAGGTCACAGCGTTAGTAAAAGCTAGTTCCTGATTCGAAAATGAAAATGTCCGTTGGGAGCGCGAAAAGTCGAAAGCTCAAAAAATTGATTTTTGCTTTCGGACACATCCGAAAAGGAAAAGAAAAACATCCGAAAAGTTGAAAAGTTCATTTTGTCTCGGGCCCAATCGAAAAGTCACAAATTCCGAAAAGTCGAAAAATCCGAAAAAGTCGAAAAGTCAAAAACGAACGAATCCAGTGTCCTTTCCAATGTAAGTCACTAAGTCACGCTGAGTCACGGGCGACAAAGAACCTTCCATGGACCCTTCTACTTTAGAAACATTGAAAATTTCAACAAACATTGCATGGTTGGGCGTTCGGACCGCCAGTCTAAGGCGTCAGAAAGAATTAGACGTTAAGGTGGTTCTGGCGCTTCCAGCCTGGGAGTTTCGAATGACACTCTTGAGAGCGGTTATCCTCCTTGCAAAATGGCTGCGGTTTCCTGAAGAAGTGCCAGAAAAACGACATTGCACGATGGAGCGGATGGAGCGCATGGAGCAGATGGTGCGGATGAAGCGGATGGTGCGGATGGAGAGGATGGAGCGGAGCGCATGGAGCAGATGGTGCGGATGAAGCGGATGGTGCGGATGGAGCGGATGGCGCGGATGGAGCGGATGGAGCGGATGGTGCGGATGGCGCGGATGGAGCGGATGGAGCGGATGGAGCGGATGGTGCGGATGGAGCGGATGGAGCGGATGGAGCGGATGGAGCGGTTGGAGCGGAAGACGCTGATCCCTCTCGCAATGTACAGATGTACGTATATATATATATATATATACGTATAATCTGTCCCTTGCAAATATGGTCAAGGTAAAGCAATCGAGGGGGCCTTTATTTCCTAAGACTCTTGTAGCGACAACGACAAAGTGTAGTTGTGAGTAGTAATGAAAAAGATCCAACCCAAAGTACGACCTCCCGTTTCCAAAGGATAAAAGTGATTCCTTGCCAATCACTGCCCACACCTGTGATATCGGCGGGGGACAATCAAAGGCTGTAGCATCCTAGCAATCTTGTCCTTGGTTTCCAACTGCGAGTATGGAGAACGAATGGCTTTGTCAAAGGTCTGGAACGATAGATCCGAGATGCGAGCCGCAGGCAAACCTCGGCTTGCCTAATGCTATCTTTGATGTATACTCGACTCTACATGCTCATGTAGAGAGAGAGAGAGTGAGAGAGATGGGAAAATAGACAGATCGTTCATGCATGCAAAAAGGATCACACAGAATCTACAAAGGCTATTGCTCAAAGTCCCAGTCTCGACAAACAAATGCTCAGAAGCTCTGCACTCTTGCCAAGCAAACCAAGTTTTCGCCGCCTCGCGTCGCATCCTCTGGCTGCAAAGCACCGCAGCCCGGCGCCTCTGATGGAAATGGAGCTGCCAAGCAGAGCAAACCCGGAGCAACCTCAGTGGAAAGGCCTTGCTCTGGTCCTGCAGCATCTTTCGGACACAACGCCAAAAGAGGTCCATTCCAGATCCCTCACATTGAGTGGAGCTCTTTTTCGGTGTGCAAAGTAATGAAAATGTTCCATCACCAGAGAATGCTGTGGCAAGGCACAGCCCATGCTGATACCTCAAGAATTGCGCTCGGACCTTCCCGCGACAGGAATGCAAATGCCATGCCCGGAAAAGCTGCCGCCGGATGGATCGGGTAAAAGACTTGCACCGTTGACCTGAGAAGAAGGGAAAGTACATTGGGAGCACAAGTAGAGACTCCAGAACACATCAGGAGATTCAAGATCTTTGAGCCCTTAAGCAGGTTTGCAAAGGCCTGCCTGCTTCAAAGTCTCAGGCTTCTTTGGACCTGCGACCTGTTGGTTTCAGAGGCGCAGCTCGTGCCCCCGCAAAAAAGGAATTCCCCAAGTTCATGACCAGAGCAATGGAAAGGCTCAGCTACAAGGTTTTGAGCCACTCAGGAATTATACATGGAATTACCTTCTTTTCTTCAGCCTCCAACACCTGGGTGCCCACACGTTCAGCCTTGACCTCTTGCGTACAGCTTCTCCAGGCGCCAAAGCAAAGCGACAAAGCTCTCGCTGCACTCCTGGGTCTCCCATGGTCTCCCCACATCACATCCAGTCTCCCAGTGTCCGCGACGTCCCCAATATGTTCCCCGCCATGTAACTGGAGTCAACGCCGAGAAAAACAGGCAAAGGGATCAATGGCTGAAAATCCGGATGGTGACCATCGGAAAACAGAAAACTTCGGTGGCCCCGATTCATCCGCGGAAGGAGCTGCCAGCGCTGCCAACACCGCAAAAGGATGAATCCTTGGTAGGTCAAGCTGAGAGCCATTGCCAATAACCACTCGACATATCCGACATTTGTGTCCACTTTTAGCTATATCCTGTAGCTGGGGTGAGGAATTGGCGCATGGAATTCGCACCTCACCGACTGTCAGCTTTCAGGCCTACCAGTAGTCCAATGAAACCCAACTACCGACTGTCGATGGTGCCTGTCACAAACCTCTTTGTCCCAAACACAAAAGGCATCCGAAAGCATCCAAAGATGTCTGGACACGCTGTCAAGTGGTGAATTGTGCAGCACGCTGTCAACCAGCTGTTGGTTTAGCCATGCAAAAACCGCCTTCCAGTCAAGAAGATCCCATTCGTCACACCCCTTCGACTCAACAGAAAATCCAGCTTCTGTTGCAGCGTCGGTGATCCATGAACACTTGCCGCAGCTGCTGCCAGGACCGGAGGTGCCGCAGGGTGCGCTTGACCGACAGGGCTTCTTCCTGCCCGCGCGAAGCGGTGACAAGGGGATGAGAACGCAGCCCAGTAGGTCTTCTTGGATCACTAAACTTGCGCCAAGAATCAACTGCCAAGGTCCGATGCCTTCTCTGAAGGCAAGCTCCAAGCCACGCATAGAAGACTTCGCTTGCCGAAGCTTGGAGCATGGCGCCAGTGTCATTCAAATCCAGACTTCCAGCGTCATTCAAACCTTCCTTCGGTGGCATGAACGCAGTGCTGATTTGTGGAGTTTCGTGCTGAGACGAACTTGGAAAAGCAGAAGGTGACTGTAGTCTGTGACCAAGTCCTGCCAACACAGGGGTGCTTGGATGCACTAGATTGACGACATCTGAACGTAACTTCATAGGACTAAGAGCTGCAGGTTTTGCCTTGGTTTCACCTTGCTTCAATTTCACTTCCGAGAGTTTCCATTCCTCGATCCTTCAGGTCTCTTGCTGAAGCTCACCTCCTCAAATGTCTTCACAACTTTTCGAAGTTCTTTAAGCTTGTGAGCTTGCAGTGAGATCTCTGCATCGGTCTTTGTGATCTCGGGGGAGTCGAAGATCGCGATCGGGGAGGCTCCCAATGAGAGGCCACTGAAATCCGAGAGGGTGCGATTCACATCATCTGGGGCCTCAAGGCAAGTCATCACTTTGACGAAGCATAATTATTCATGATCATGACCAGTAGAAAAAGCTCTCAAACGCTTGGCAAAATCGGAAGGATTCTATGATTCTAACAGAACTGGGCAGATTTCTTTGGCTGGATTCGCCTGGGTATCCTTGCTCACCTCTTCAGTGCTTGCAGAGATCTCCAGCAAATCCATTGATGCTTCGCACATCTCTGGTGAGGCGCCAAATCGCCAGGCATCAAAAGCATCTTCGCACAAGTGTTTCTCTGCGCTCTGAGTTCTGTGAACCACCTCTATCCAGGGAACCATGTTTGGCAAGAATCACCACAAACGCCTAGGTTTCAGTTAGATGATGTTAGATTGATTTAATTGACTTCAAACGTCAAAGCACCGCGGTTCCTGCGTATTTTGGCCAGTGGTGCCACCTGGTAGCGGCAGGAAGTCCATGCCGTCCAGGCTCGCCTCAACCGACACCGGCCGGCGCTGCTCAGTTCGTCGCGTCGCAGCAGGAAGGTCGAGACCAGGAGGCCGTGATGCCACGAACGAAACGACCATCGCAACAACCGAGGCCATTCGTCCGACCGCCTTCTCCGGACGTGTCTTCTCTCGAATTGGAGCCTCTTCCAATACCTTGCTGCACAATGGTCGAAGGCAAACACGAAGGAAATTATACAAGCATAGACCCCAAACAGTTTCAAAGCGATTCGTTTAGACCAATATCAGTCAAAAATCGATTTCTTGGTGCGCCCTACTTTCACCCCAAGAGCAAACTGTTTCATCAATGAATTTTTGTCGGCATTGACATCGCTATTTGTTCGGCCACACTCCTCTCCAGTAAGAGACCAGCCACAGAGTTCAGGGGCGCGGCCAAGACAAGGACAAGAGGAGGACAAGACCCGGACACAGAGCCGGGCCACAGAGCCCAGCCACAGAGTTCAGGGGCGCGGCCAAAACAAGGACAAGAGGAGGACAAGAAGAGGACAAGGCCCAGCCACAGAGCCCAGCACAGAGGACAAGAAGAAGACAAGACCCCAGTAAGCCGTCCATAGCACATGAGCACGCGCGCCTTCGCTCTGCTCTCTCTCTCTCTCTCTAAGTGTCTCTTTCTCTGTCTTTCTCTTTGCACAGCGCGCTCTGACCGCGCCTTTCTGGAGCGTGAGCGCGCCCGTCCATAGCACACAAGCGCGCGCTCGCCCTGCTGTCTTTCTTTCTTTATCTATTTCTTTCTTTTTTCCTTCCTTCCTTCCTTCCTTCCTTCCTCCCTCCCTTGCTTGCTTGCTTGCTTGCTTGCTTGCTCGCTCGCTCTCTCTCTCTCTCTGTCTTTCTTTCTTTCTTTCTTTCTTTCTTTCTTTCTTTCTTTCTTTCTTTCTCTCTCTCTCTCTCTCTGTCTCTGTCTGTGTCTGTCTCTGTCTCTGTCTCTGTCTGTCTCTGTCTCTGTCTGCGAGAGAAGGACAACAGGAGGGCAAGGCCTGGAGACAGAGCCCGGCGCGCCAAGAGAACAAGAGGAGGACAAGAGGAGGACAGGGCCTGGGACAAGAGGAGGACAAGGCCCAGCCACAGAGCCCAGCCACAGAGTTGACAGAGTTCAGGGGCGCGGCCAAGAGGAGGACAAGGCCGAGCCACAGAGCCCAGCCACAGAGCCCAGCACAGAGTTGACAGAGTTCAGGGGCGCGGCCAAGAGGAGGACGAGGCCCAGCCACAGAGCCCAGCCACAGAGTTGACAGAGTTCAGGGGCGCGGCCAAGAGGAGGACAAGAGTAGGACAAGGCCCAGCCGAGCCCAGCCACAGAGTTGACAGAGCTCAGGGGCGCGGCCAAGAGGAGGACAAGAGGAGGACAAGGCCCAGCCACAGAGTTGACACAGAGTCAGAGCCCAGCCACAGAGTTGACAGAGTTCAGGGGCGCGGCCAACAGTAGGACAAGAGGAGGACAAGGCCCAGCCGAGCCCAGCCACAGACCCCAGCCACAGAGTTGACAGAGTTCAGGGGCGCGGCCAAGAGGAGGACAAGGCCCAGCCACAGAGCCCAGCCACAGAGCTCAGCCACAGAGCCCAGCCACAGAGTTCAGGGGCGCGGCCAGTGAGTGTGGCCAGCTCTTTTCCTTCTAAGATAGAACCCCAACAGCAAACTGTTTGGGGAAAAATGCTTTTGCACGAGGCCCCTGAACAGGATAACTAGAGAAAGAGGACACGTGAAAGCACGGGCCTGCAAGGGTACCAAAAAGTTCTTCCAAGCAAGTCCTGAATTACTGCCATGCCAAGCGTTTCTTCTCAGCATTTCTGCTCATGATTGCTTCAGCAGCTTGAAGACGCCTCGACTGTAGCAGCACCATCTGTCCTTTCCACTCCATCAAAGATCGAAGCTGACACCGCCTCGTTCTGTCTGCAAGCCGAAGCCTCACGAAACAAAAGTACAGTAAGTCAACACAGGCCAAGGATGAACAGCAAACAGCAAACCACTCTTGCACTGTGTTTCCGACTGAATCTTGTCAACGACATGGGCCAACTGGTTGGGCTTCCATTTCCCACCAACCTGGCCTGAGCGAAAGCTCCGCTGCCACCTGCCAGGCCCAATCGCAGAAGGTCCGGTACATCGTCGCGTGCTCCGCGCGCATCTCCAGGCGTGTCCTCACAAAGGGCCGCGCCGAGCTGGCCCCAGCCGGCCGTGGAACCCGTTGAGCCCGTTGAGCAGGCCCCACCCCTTCGGTCGAGGATGCAAAGTAGTAATGGCCCCAACCTAATAGCGATGGCCTCCAACCTAGTAGCGTCCTTGCTCCTAGTAGTAATGGCCTAATCGTGCTTGGAGGTGTTGCCAAGGTCTTCCAACCCCTTCCAGTCTGAAAGAGATGTCATTACCCCTAGCTTTCTTCCGACGCCCGCATAGGTGGATGGGTGGGACTGTCCCTGATCTGTCCTTCGCCACAGCCGCTCTGAGCACAGCTGCCGCCACGCGCCCAGCGCTCCCTCCTCCTGTGCGTGGTTCCTCCGCGCGGCCGCGCGACGCAGCGCCTGCAAAGCGCTGGAGCGGAGGCGCCACGCAGCAAGCGCCTACGATTCATTCAGGTTGGATGGCACATCGGGTTGGATGGCACTCCATCCACAAGTCAGTCAGATGAAGCGTTATGGTGTGGCTTCAAGAGATCTGGTAAAACGCGATTCAGGTCCGAATGCCCAGTCTTGGCCGGCCTTGCCGCAAGTCTTGACCTGGGTCGTACATCCACCTACACAAGTCTCACAGCATATGCTAACACCAAGTGTTGAAGCCAAATTGGTTGGCTTCCACGTTTGGTTGTCTTGCATGCCCTGATCTTAGCTCCGCACCATCAATTGGCATCGTTGAAGCGAAAGTATCCTCTCGTGGGGGGAACCAAGCCGCAAGGAACTTTGAGGTGCCAAGCCAGGCCACAACTCAGCAACAACTGCAGCCCAAACAAGTCATTTGAGGCCCTTGCATCCGCCCAAGTTTGCTTGGTTTCCAAGCTCAACACACTATAGTCTGCCAAAGGCTCCGAGCTGGCCCTATCTCCAGCGAAGAGTCAGTCCTTCGACACTTAGAACAATATGCCTTGGTCTGAGGCTCAGCTGCCAGAGTCGCTTGCACACTTGGAGCAGTAAATGCTCGATGGTTACAGTGAATGGTTGAAGTCTTGAACTTTAACTGCCCCTCACTTTAACAATTAACAGTTTTTTGTCAAGACTCGGGAATCTGCCGCACCTCCATGGCCTCTCTGTAGCTTCGGCCTTTCGTCGCTCTGAGCTCCCAGCCGCCGCCCGGCTCCAAGCAGCCAGGACTATCCCACACTGGCGAAGTCCGCACTGACGCGCCATCAGGCGGATGCTGCAGCTCCGCCTCCAGAATTTGAGCACCAAAACCGCAGAAAAGTTGAGACGGGGAGGTGGATTGTAGGATTATATAGTGGATACCCAACTCCAGTTTATGCATCAACATGCATCAATACACCAGGCTCCACTCGAAAGGGACCGGAGCGGAGCCTGACTCCTTGGCGCCAGGCGTGGAAGATTCGCCCCTTTCGGGCGCTGCCCACAAGGCGGCCATGCACCTGGGCGAGCGAGCCACTAGAGGTAGCGTGCGTGTTTTCATGGTTCAGTGGCGAAGCCCAAAAATGATTCAAAAGGACCGGCAGCTTGTGATAAATGCGGGCCTTGTGTATGTTTTTTCGTCAAGAAACTGGAGAACCAAACAGCTCAAACAGCGGAACCGCCTGCCCGATGGCTGCGAGCTTCCAACGCTCAAGGGTCCGCCTGGCAGACTGCAAAGGTGGCTCAACTCGACTCAAAGAACAAATGAGGGTGCAGCCACAAGAAGGGTCTTCTTGGCCATCGCTAGTAGGTTGGAGGCTATTAGGTGCAAGCTCCGAATCTCAGAGGTCTCGGCCTGCAAGCTCTAGGTACGATCTCCTCCTCTCGGAAACATCGGCCGTGCAAGCGGCTCCGGCGACGCTTGGAGATCAGATGAGACCTTGGCCAAAGGCATCAGAGGAAAAAGGAAACCAACCGAGAGGAATGGTATTGTATTATGACCTATGCCATTCGACAAGGCTTTGGCTAATCAAATGTCCGTGTCCATATAGGGTGCCTATTGCCCACGTCTCTGGTTCTTTGGGGAGCAGAGACCTTGTCAGCTTTGGAGCTGACGAATGAACATCCTGCATCCTGGACTGGCACCCACTGAACACCTGATGACTCAATGACGCTCCTTTTTCCACCGTTGATTGCAATCCTGATGCCTGCAAAGAGAAAGAACTCCTGATGTCCTGATGCCTGTCCAAACTTGCAGCCCCTTGGTCGACACCAAGATGAGATGGGCTCTGTAATCCTCTGTCCGTCTTTCAATTCAATCGAGCTTCCTGAATGGTGCTTCTGCGTGCCTCAGACTGATGGCCAAAGCATTCATCTACGGGATCTGCATCAACTCAACTCTTCCAGTTGAACCAACCTTGCGGCTTGCGGCTGACCAGCGCAACATTCCTGCGTAGCCAACGCTCCTCTGGGGGCAAACATTCCTGCACCACAAAAGCCGCCACGTCCGCACGGGGGATGGTAGGATAGAAGCCACAAGCATCTTCAGCTGCATGCCATGCGCGCAAGCCTGGAGAATCCAGCAAACCTCCCGGCCTCACCACCACCCAATTCTTAAGGCTTCGGACCATCTCTTCCTGCAAATGCTTATCTGCGAGGGCCTCTGGAATGATCCATGAGGCAAAAAACTTGGCGAAAAGGCTGCAGTGCTGATAGTGGTCACCCACACCGATAGAGCTGATGCACACCACCCGCGCCGCGCGTCCGTCGCTGCTGTTCAGTGCCTCATTGATGAGGCGCTGGGAAGTGCTGCAAACATCGACTCCTGGGCCTCGAGGTGGCCCTCCTAAGCTCACAATCCTTGGTGGGGACCATCAGTTGGAGGCCGTTTCTTCGCCCGCAACGGAACCAGGGGTTCTTTTGGATGGTTTGCGTGAATTCCTATGGCATGGGGATGGACATCGCCATAGATTCCACGTGGAAGACTGTGGCATTCTAAATTAACTTTTCATCTACCATCCACGTGGCCTTTGGCAAGGAACTTCGGAACTTCCTTCATTTTGGAGCACGTCACGTTGGAGGGGCAAGCAATATCGCACACAAACAGGACTACAAAGGCTTTGAACATCACTGAACAATGATTAAGCACACCCTTCCCGCCCTTGCATCTGAGGAGCACAGCTTCTGCATCCGCACAGGCTTCTTGCACAGCGGCAGCATCTGTAGAAGAGCCTGCAATCAACTCCACAGCAGGATGCTGCCGCAAATCCTGCAGTGCGTGCAGGGTGCATGGTCGAGCGAAACCACCACCTTGGCACCCTCAAAAGCTCAACTTCTGACTGAAACTTTCCTTTAGACTCATGGCGACTCATTCCTCATCTTTCGATCCGCCCCGATCCTCCGCTCCTCGGGCAGCTTCTCAGGGCTCCGCACCAGGCACCGCACCGTGGCCGTGGCCGTGAGGCGCCGCAGCAGCTCCACGCCGGTGCTGCCGGTGGCGCCGAAGAGGCTCACGCGCATGGCGGCTCTTCGGACGGACTGGGGCGGTGGGCTCAGGTTGGCCACGGTTCCAAAAGTGATGCAAGGGGGTATGGCGGATATGGATGGGTATGTGTCATGAACATGGAATGAAACAGGGACTAAGACTCACGTGCATGTGCTTCATTTTGAGCAGGCTGGGGTGCTTTTGTGCCCGGAAGAGCTGCCAACATTGCCAAGCCTGGCAGCAACTGCTGGAGGAACTCGATAAGAACTTCTTTTCTGTTCCCTTGAGCGACAGTTTCTTTTTCTCTCCACAGCAATCCTGGTAGCGATGCCCCTTGCTCCTAGTAGCGTCCTTGTTACAGCAAGATCCATCTTGATTCTTGATACCTTCTTGCACATCAGCATCAGTCGTTAAGCCTAGCCACCAGGAAAGCAAGCTCTTTCGCATCAACCGCAAGGCCCAATGGGCTGCAGCTGCCAGAACCTCAAGGCTTTTGAGTGAAAAAACTCGTGGTCTCCACACCATACTCGTCGATCATCGCTCGGTTTGCACCTCTCAAACTTCCGTTCAAACGCTGATTGTCGGCTGAATCTTTGGCTTTTTGCAGCCAAAGAGTGAAATAGCAAACCAGGTCCAATCAGAATCTGCGGTGGATGGTCGTGGAAGTTTTCCATCCTTCGGAATCCTTTGGAATTGGGTTGGTGAGCGACGCGTCCATTGACGTCGTCCTCTCTCATCCCTCTGCCCAGTTGAAAAGCCCGACCTCCAAGTCCCATCGAGGATCTTTCTCGAGGATCTTTCCCTCGGCCTCGAACGGAACAACTCGGACTCTCTGTGCTGGTTTTGCGCTGTCGGTCCCTTGGAAAGGCATCCGCGATTTAAAGAAATATAATCATAATTTAACAATTATAGAACATGCTTTGCCACATTACGCAGGTCTCTGAGGAACGGTTCTTTACGAAAGGCGCGGCAAACGCCCTAGAACGGTAGAACCGCCGTAAAACCGGATAAAAGCGAACATGTCTATGAATTCTGGACCGTATCGAATTCCAACTGCAAAAATCGCGAAAAATGAAAAGACACATGTTTACAGGTTTATCGCCCCAAAGCAAATAAATCTCCAAAGGAAAAGCATAATACAGTAAATAAAAATCTTAAACGTCGATAATTTTAGCTGCTTACCGCATTGCCCGGGTCCCCCTGCTATGGATTCTTACTGAAAGAATCCATTAGGCGGTGCAAAAATGGTAGAGATCGATTATATTCACCCCTTTTCTCTGCGGGGAGTGCGAGCGAGTACCTGCAAGCAAAACAACGTGAACCGGCTTCGTGGGCTGCCCATGTCCAATCAAAAGCCTTCAATACAAAGCACCAAACAAGATACTGCGGTACCCAAAACTGCCTTTAACTCCCGCCATGACCAAGCCTGGACCCCAAGTCCTTTCGGAAAAAATTAGAAGACTGCACGTCCATTTCATGGCAGGTAAAAATCCCACGTCGCTCACAAAACCAACAACGTTCAATTCAATACAAGTGATTTTTCGCGAGCCAAGGTTCCTCGGGTCTGAAGACTACCACTCCCGCAGTCATGATGACATGACAGTCCAACCATGAGGAGCAGGCTCAAGATCAAGCACCACAAAACCTTGTCTTCCGCATTTGGTGGCCTTCCAATCGAAACTGCTCACTTCGCTCATGCGCTAGTTTGTTTTGGGGTCAGCATTATCTGCATGTTGAGGATCACCTGCTGGTGGTCCAGTAGCTCTGTGCACGTATTGCTCCTCCCGTGAACAAAAAATGCCTGTGCCTTGCACAGGGGACCTCGGGGCTTGTAGAGGCCCACATCCGCCCACACGGGTCTCATGAGAATATCTGGCACCGCTGCTGGAGCATAGAGCATGTCTTGTTTTTCAATTCCTCAGCAGGTCCAATGACTTTGAGTACGTTGAATCTCCGAGCCAAGCAGGTCGATGCCGGTCGCTGCCGAGCCTTACCATGGTATTCAGAAATGGTACAGCTTCAGTACATGGAGTTTGGATCCATATGTCTCCTGCGAATGGTGCTGAGACCAAAGGGGCCAGCCATAAGGGGACCATTTTTGGGGCACAGTGGTACTTGTCTGACAGCCAGAAGGTCTTCCCTCCCAATTCACTGGATGTCCGAAATTTCCGCTCAACGGCATCTTTTCACAGCAAGCTGGAGGTAGGCTTCGCCTGGCACAGTTCGAAAGCGCACATCTGGCCCAAGTTCACCCGGACATCTTGAGACTTGAGACCAGCACAGGCCTTACGCGCGTATGGCTGAAGAATCATATGGCTTACAGCCACCTGCAAAATAAGAAAGGTCTGAAAATCCAGCTGCAGCGCCCTCCACCCAAAACACCCGATGGACTCCCACTCCATCCATCTCCATCCACTCCACCCCAGCCTGTAGACCTGACTTGCTGAGAAGCCTTCGAGGGAAGCGAAAACCGGATCTCATCGAAAAAGAACCATAAGAAAGGAGCGTCCTGTCAGTACCAAATGTTAACAGTGTTGGTAATGTAAGCAAGGTCATCTCATGTCATCTCTCTTAGACATACCCTTCCCATTTTCAGACTCTACATCTGCCCAGGCCTCCTGAAGTCTTCGCTTAAGCCATAGGTCCTCAGGAAAAGCTCGCCTCAGCCGGGCAAAGACTGCTTCATGTGTCACATATTCACTTGTCACTGGCCCTATGGGTTCACCTAGCTCACCCAACTTCCGACCGGATCGATGCTCCGTCTGGGTCGCCCCAGCAACGCTGGAAGCATCTAGCGTCATGGCCACTGAGAGCAATGGCCAAGGCCTTGAGGGTCGGCTCGCATCGTCATTGGCAAAATGTCCCGGCCAACTGGGATCCAACAGGTTTTCTTCGAGATGTTTTGGATGGAAAGCTGTTTGTTGCAGTCATTGAGGCACCAGGCCAGCATCATAGAGCGCTTTCCTTGTAGACCAGCAGCTAGTGGGAACTGGCGGCTTCGACTGTCACAAGTGTCATAGCCGTCTTTTTTTTGTATGGTGCAGGAGAAAAAAGAATGGGCACATCAACAAGCACACCGGTCCCTTCTGCAAAGTGCTAGAATTGGCTGGAAACTCCAATGGTTGGGACTTTTGCCTCTTTCTCAAAGAAAGATATGTGCGACCTGACTGCAAGGAAATGTATTTGACAGGCTCTCCAAACGGCTAGCTTGCCTGACGACCCCGGGCGCGCACAAAGCTGATCTCTGCAAGAACAGAGATCTCAGCTGTCGATGTTCCAGTGTAAACATGGGTCAAAGCCATCAAGGAGGCATGTGCTTCTTCGGCAAAGCTCCCCAAACACAATGGACTACTCTCATCAACCCCCGCAATGAGCTGGATGCTGCATGCATCCCCAGTTCTACAAACACCTCGATTGTACAAACAAAGGCCGTCACAATGTTCTGCTTCTTCGCTTCTGCTGCCACGCGCCTCGCCTGCACTGGTTCGAGCTTTAAGCTCTCCTAATTCTCCTAGAACATCGGATTGGCACCAACTGGCTGTCAAAAGTCAAAAGCCAACTCACCCCCAGAAACCCCTGACCGGGGAGGGCCGTTGATTGGCACTGGACTCGTTGCGAAAGTCTCGTTGGGAGGTCAACCAGACAATCCTTTGAGCTTGTGGAGAACTCACATACAATCCCTCTCTTTTTTGATCAGGTCCGGTGCCTCAGATGCAAAGATGGTGATCTTGACCCAAGTTTAGAAACCAACTCCCTGAAGCGCGCAAAGCGCGGGGAGCACGGAGCCTGAGGCATCCGGTCACAGGTCTCGTAGAGGCTTTCGGCCTGGCCGTTCACTCGGTGATACCACCATGAGACGCACTGCCCGCCATCGACTTGCACGGGCTCGGCCGGCGATTGGCGCCGGCCTTGGGTTGCAATTGTCACAATATGTGATATGTATATAATATATATATATATACATATCTTCTATATTGTGTTATATGTGTTTTTTGCATAAGCAGTTGTATAAGTAACTGAAGAACCCCAGGGGGAGACCTCCCTGACCTGGCCCAGCGGCCGATGTTTTAGGCATGAAGCGGAGTTTCGTGCTTCGTTCTTGGGAGCCCTGTGCTTAGAACAAACTCATCAAGCGCTGTAACAGCGACTTGTTTGGATCCCCGAAAGAATGCTTGGAGCCTCCCAGTCCGGGCATCAGTCATTTTTTCAGCTGGCGATTCTAGACGCTCTCAGCAAAGACCCAGGTGCAGTCAATCTTCAATCCAAGTACCTAACTTCGCACGGCATGCTTGTTTGAAAAGAATTCACCATGCCCTTCTCAATGCCAAAGGGCATGAGGCTGGAAACTGCCATCTGCGTCTCTAAGTTTGACCCCTGTCCCGCCATGATGCTCTCTTCAGCGGCTGCAAGAGACCAAACAAATGCTGTAGCATCATTAAGCCGTTGTGCCAAGCTGCAAATGTGATCTGCTCGTTCGCACATATCACGACGAGTGACCGTCTCAGTGCAGTATGTCGCCTGCTTTGGGTCGGCACCAGTCTTCAAAGCGCAGCGGCCTTGCAGGGGAGGATAAGATAAAAGGCCAAGGGCTCAATCCAATGAACAATTCATATATTCACAAAGAAAGCCGTCGTGTTCCCCACCTCGAAGAACTCCTGAGAAGGCGACGAGCTCAACATCCCCCCAACCCCATGCCACTTCGAGATATGTTATGTCACTTTAACACGTGAACGGGCAGCAAGGTACGTAGCAAGACTGACAAGCTTGTGATTGCAATGTGCAGCTCTCTGGCATCCAAAAATGCAGATAGGGAGCCAACAGTCCATTTGCAATTGGGAGAGAGGCAGGTATCGAAATCTGGCGTGCGCCTGAAGCGAACCAGTGCAAAGAATGCAAGAAGGAGCACTTGGACTGCCAGTGGCCATGACTTAACAACACTTCACATGACCGCATGGCCCAAATCTGAACCGTCTCTCCCTGTCCATCATGCCTGCACCATTTCTTCATGTGTGGTAGTCCACCCTCCTTCAGATCGCAATAGCCAGGATCCACCTTACCCTCCTGCAACGAGGAAATACTGTATATACTACTGTGCATCACACCGCCAACAGGTTGGAAGTTGAGAAACAGAGCTAGCACAGCTAGCTGGCTTGGCCCTAATCGAAGGAACAAGAGACGTTCAAAACGTGGATTGATAACATTCCCGTTGCACTAATACTATATATTATATTATATAGGCTAAAGGCAGTTGATGGCAGCTGGGCATGCATGCAAAGTATTCTGCTGGACTGATGCAATTCTGGGCCACCCCACCAACCACATACAGAACTTGAATGCCGTGCAATCAGATTCACTTTTATACCTTGGATGCGCTAGGTTCTGTAATTGGAATGTGCTTTCGAGTGTGCAAAAGTCAGCAACAGCAAAGTGAATGTTAAACACCAGAATGCCCTCTGCAATGACCTTCCTCGGAGCCATCTTCTTTCTGCGCATCACAATAGCCAGGTTTAGGGGGGCTGTCAAACGGCCACATCTTCTCCGACCTCAGAGTTGGACATGTCATCGCTTCAACATGAGCAGTTGGTCAAAACCACTGGGTTGGTCAAGACCACTTTCTCAAGACAAGCTTGCTAGACAACCGGATTACACTTGCAAGCCTTCCTACCAAATTCATCTGCACTTCAGGCTGAAACCAGAAAATCCTGCGCTTCCTGCTTCCTGACAAAGGATACGACAATCGGCCATCGGAAACCAATCCATCAGAAGTCCTTCCTCTTCAAACAGGGCTGATGTTTGAATATCCTGACCCACCTGGTGTGTACTTAATCTAGGAAGCTGAGCGTTGAAAACAAGCGCCGATTCAGTGCCTCAGTGCTTACCAGGAAGCTTTGGACATCTACATGGAACAAAGGTGGTATGGTTGATGTAACACTGGTCACTAGTAATACCGTACCTGTAGAGCACTGATCTTATATGTGGATTACTCCTCGACCTCCTTCAAAAAATACACTCCTCCAAGCAGCCCTTTGGTATCACGCATTGCCAGAGTCTGAATCAGCAGCATGAAGAAGACTGCTGCTCGCATCGTGAAGTAAGTTGACAAAAAGAACGACAAAATCTAGCCCAGTGCTTGAGATGCGTAGCTGCGCAGAAGCGGCAAAAAATGCTGCAAATATGTCGTACTCCTGAATTCCCAGCAGGTCCTAGCAGTACAAAGGACAAACGCGAAATGGAACAAAGAAGACATGTCCACACGACACACAACGCAATAAGGACTCAGGGGAAGGAAGCAAGCATCAATCATTCAGCTACATAAAACAAATCCTTTAGCAAGCAAGTGTGGCAGGATTCCTCTTTTCGAACTCCCTTCTTGACGGCATGTTCAGGCGCTGTGAGCAGCACCGCCTTTAAACCAAAATGAAGGGCTGGCAATGTCGATAGCCTTCTTTGAGCTGTTCCAACATCGTCACCCACACCAGGCGCAAGCCATCACAGCCCGAAAAAATATAGAACTAAAATAGACTCTAGAATAGCACGATTTCCAGGACTTTGGGCACTTTAGTCAATAACACATGTGGGGGCATGCCGCCCCCGGCAAGCCCTAACCACCAGCCATCTCTTGACACATCTGGATGTCTCCACCAGCGCCAGGGTTGCCCCAAGTAATCACCAGATCATCCGCACGGAGCGCTGCGAAGGCAGCAAAGGAACCTCGGCTGTTTCCATAACTTTCATGGTTTTCCAAGCACAACAATTCTCAGTTATTCAATTCTCAGAAAAGCTTTGGAGAATTACAGGAGCCTATTGAAAGCCTATCCTGCAGGCGCAACAAAGGCCACTGCAGCTCAGTTGCCTGCTACTTGGTGAATGTCCCGGAGTTGCTCCTGAAGAAAATGAAGAAACCTCCATCATCTGTTCCATTCTTATGATTCTTTGAAGGGACGACAGACTGTGTCCATTCTCTATGGACACTTAAAAAAGTGCCATGGGCTGCCCGCAGCTACGGAGTTGCCCCGTCCTGGACGCTTTGGGAATGTCCACCATTCTCAGGATGTCCCCAGCTTACAACTGTGCCGTCGTCACGGATGGCTGCGAACGCATGGCTTGTGGCAGCGACAGACCGCACGTCCCGAAGCTGCTCCTGGATTCGCAGGTTCCAAGTTGCTTTGCGCGGGAAGCCAGATTGTGTCCACCAAAGTGTTGGCCCCACACGTCAACTCCTGTTCTTGGTTCTTCTGAAAGACATGGGAGGGAACCTGTCGAGTGGTCCCGAACACTGGTAGCGGGCCGGCTAGATGCTGGTGGTCTCAAAGACCAAGTTCACTCACGAGGGAACCGCTGAAAAGGAAACCTCTCCTGTGACACAGAAGAGGTTATGAGCCGTCCCTGTTTTCACTCACTTCATGGCGTCCGCGCACAGCCCAGTTTGAGCTAATCCGTGCATCGGTGGAGAGATGGACACATGAGTTGGAATGCTAGCCATCACAAATTCTACATGGCTCTCAATTTCTTTTTGCTTCCAACTCAACTGATTCTTCGTTCGCATCATTCGTTTCTTTTTCGCTGACACAAAGTCAGGATCAAAGCTTATGCCAATGCAGCATCTCTTCAACAATTGAATGAGTTTGTCAACCGAGAACAACTTCGTCAGATCATCCCCAAACATTTGATCCGAATCTACCCATTTAAATCCGGTCTTCGTCCGTTCACAGCTTTCTCTAATGGACAGCACGTCCAAACACAAGCGTCGTTCTTCAAGTTGGAGGCCGGAAGAAAGAATTCTGGTCACCGAATCAAACATGTTTTTGGCATCACAAACGATACATCCACCAATCTTCGAAACCGAGTCATCTGAGGTCTTTGCCGTGATACCTTCACGATGATGAATTTCAAACCAGAGTTGTCTGATGAATTCGTTTTCGTCCACCCCGTTCCCACACGATTGAATCTCGGCGCTCGTAGAAGATCTAGCTATTCGTTTCAATTTTCGGGAATGCCAAGACACCAAACTAAAGGGGGCCTTTTGTCCATCTAGAACTCTGCGGCCGGTCAAGAACGTGATAGTTCCTCCCTGCAATGACAAGTCGGCACGATTGGCACGCGATGCGTCCGAAAGCGTGGGAAAAAGGGGCTCGTGGATATCTCTAGCAAAAGTCAAACCAAGTTCACAGTGGGCCCTTTGAAGCCGACGCAACTTGTTTGCGTGAAGTATGTCCTGTACTTTTGCCGTGTGCTGATGTCCTTGGAGTATGGACGTTGAAGCTGAGATCCACGGAGCGGTCTGTTCCACGCCAGGCCAGACTACGCAAAAGTCCTCGAAGAGCCTTTTTCTCGTCGAGACTGGCATCCGATTCTGGAGATTATTTCCTCTCTCTATCAAGATCAACCTCGTTGACTCCTAGAGCATACCTTTCTTGTTTAAGTTGTATCTTATCTTCTTTTTGACTCAGTTCACAACCACAGAAAACAACCTTTTCTTTGCACGGATCCTTCCAGGATCCAAAAGGAAAAACCGATTGCAATCTCCTTATACTGTCCTCATAGATGTTGCCAGCTCCACCGCACACTACGTCGTCGACGTGAATGCCCAGGACTCCAGTCAAGCGGTCTTTGTCAAAGAGACGCCAGACGCAGTTGTCCAAGGTGCAAGGAATCCAACCTAACTTTTTCAGTTCCTGAGACAGTTTTTCCATCCACCTACGCGGGGCGTTCAACAAACCGTAAACTGCTTTTCGAATTCTAAACAACTGTTTGGAACCCATTTGAAGCATTTCTTTCACGTCTTCAGGAGGATTACTGTAGATTTCCCGACTCTCCTCAGTGGG